GTGTGTGTGTGTGTGGTGTATGTTACAGGTGTGTGTATATGTTACAGGTGTGTTGTGTGTGACTGTTGGTAATGGTGGGGAAGGCAGGTCGGCCGTGACCTTGATGGTGGTAGCGTAGTTACTGTGTGGTGGTGGAGGAGATGATTGTCAGCGTTCACGACAATGCCATTATGTACCACAGGCCAGCCCCGATGGTGGTGGTGGTGGTAGTAGTTGTAGTGATGGTAGTGGTAGTAGTTGTAGTGATGGTAGTGGTAGTAGAGGTGGGAGTAGTAGTCGTAGTGGTTGGCCAGTAGATGGTTTGCCCTCCCAATGCGTGTGTGGCTATTCCTATGATGGCGATCACGCCATGGTTTGCAAGAAGGGGGGCTTCATATGCATGAGGCATGACGAGGTAAGGGATCTCACAGCAAATATGTTGAAGGAAACCTGCCGGGACGTCATGGTAGAACCGACCCTCCTTCCACTGGATGGCGAGATCCTCCAACACAGGACTTCAAACACATCTAACGAAACCCGTGTGGACGTCAGTGCTCGAGGATTCTGGACGCGGGGACAGCGAGCCTTCTTCGACATCAGGATTTTTGATCCCATGGCCGTTTGTCACCGTAACCTAGCTCTCGATGCTGCACATAGGAGGAACGAGAACGACAAGAGAAGGGCATATGGTGAGAGAATTCAAAATGTCGATCAAGGCAGCTTCACTCCGCTGGTGTTCACAACCTCTGGTGGGATGGGCCCAAGCGCAAGATGTTTCTACGCCAGACTCGCGGAGCTGATCTCCAAACAGAAGCAGCAGCCCAGAAGTTATATCACAGCCTGGATGAGATGTCGACTGTCCTTCTCTCTCCTTCGGTCGGCTTTGCTCTGCCTCAGGGGAACGAGAGCTTCTGCCCCTACTCCGTCAACTGCTGCAGATATCGACTATGAGGCTACAGTCACCGAATGCCGCATCGATCTGCGGCTCAACTAATTTAACACAGATAGGATAGTTGCTTATGTATTAGGATATTTAATATTAAGGTAAATAAATGGTGGCGAAGGTGTGGCTATTGGGGGAGGCTGTAGTAGTAGTAGTAGTAGTAGTAGTAGTAGTAGTAGTAGTAGTAGTAGTAGTAGTAGTAGTAGTGGTGGTGGCAGTAATAGTAGTGGTAGTAGTAATAGTAGTGGTGGTAGTAGTAGTAGTGTAATTGAGGTGGTAGTAGTAGTAGTAGTGGTGGTAGTAGTAGTAGTGATGGTAGTAGTAGTAGTGGTGGTAGTAGTAATGGTGGTGGTAGTAGTAGTAGTGGTGGTAGTAGTAGTGGTGGTGGTAGCAGTTGTAGTGATGGTAGTAGATAGTAGTGGTGGTAGTGGTAAGTGGTGGTAGTGGTAGTAGTATGTTATTCTCAAAGCCAGGTGTTATCGCTATGTCACCACCATGAACGTCACCAACAATCCCGTAGAGTCAACTCCTCAAAGTCAGTTCACCTCTTCCCTGTGAACCCCGAACCCCGAGATTCGTGAACCCGATTCATCTATGTATCGAATAATGTATCAATCCACTGCTTCGGGTTCATGAATCTGAATCTCAGGGGTTAATGTCAACTTAACCTAACCTAACCTACTTTGCACCAATGGATCACGTGAAGATTAGACACCCCTAGCTTATATAACCTTTACAAATATCACTTTCATTGCTATGCTAACCTACTTTGCACCAATGGATCACGTGAAGATTAGACACCCCTAGCTTATATAACCTTTACAAATATCACTTTCATTGCTAACCTAACCTGACCTGACGACTATCTGCTTCAGTACGAACCTAACCTAACCCAACCTAACCTAACCTCACGTCTTCTGCAGGTACACGGTTGATGGAGGTCGTTCACCCACCCACTCGGTTTTTATAAGACTTAAATTATTCAGTTCGGGTTCCAATGTTGTGGGTTTTTGTTCCTGGAGACAGATAACTCCTGGGATGATGAAGCTACACTGTTCACTACTGGTGTTATGTAAATGTTGAACTACCGGGGACTTGCATTATGAATTAACTAAAATATATAAAAAATAATAAATAAAATAAATAAATTAAGATAAACAACATGAAACATAAATGAATAAACATTAATACATATAAAATAAAGACAAATAAATAAATTAATTAATATACATAAATAAATAAGCATAGAAAAATAAACATATTAAATACAAGTGAATTAACATACAAAAATAAATGAACAATAAATTAATAAACTTAAATAAATAGGTTAATAAACATAAACAATTATAACTAAATAAATAAATAAATTGTCAAATCTTGGTTAGTTGGTAGGCAGGTGGCACCACGCCTGACTGCTCACTAACAAGCAGTTTAGGGCCAATGACACCAGTTGAGAAGAGAAGTGTGTTGGCCATTGGCTGCAACATCTCCCTCACCCCCCCCTCCTTCTCCCCTTTTCCTCTTCCCCCTCCTTTCCACTTTTCTCCTCATCCTCCCCCTCTTCCTCCTCCTCCTTCTCCCCTTTTCCTCTCCTCATCCTCCCTCTCCCTCACCCCCCCCTCCTTCTCCCCTTTTCCTCTTCCCCCTCCTTTCCACTTTTCTCCTCATCCTCCCCCTCTTCCTCCTCCTCCTTCTCCCCTTTTCCTCTCCTCATCCTCCCTCTCCTTCTCCCCTTTTCCTCTTCCCCCTCTTTTCATCCTCCCCCTCTTCCTCTCCCCCCTCCTCCTAACTCACTCAAATCGCTAATAATTTCATCTCTAGTTTGGGTTAAGTTAGGCACCAATCTGCCAAGGAGTAATGATTCAGTGTTAATAGATTGCAACAACAACAACAACAACAAAAACAACAATAAAGAATAACGTATCAAGAATAGAACAAATAACAACAAGAATAAACAAAAGAAACTGTAACAATGTGATATTTTGTTCCGGGTTTTTATATTAATCAAAGAAGAAGAAGAAGAAGAAGAAGAAGAAGAAGAAGCCTCGTCCAGATGGCGGGAAATTATTAATGCAACTGAGGAAAGCCCCCCCTCTCCCCCCTTCCCCCCCACCACCTCTCAACCCTCCCAAGGCCGACGAGTGAGGTGTAGAGGGAGAGGTGGATAATAAATACCATTAACCTAACCTAACTTAATATTATCTAATTTAACCTTACCTAACCTTACGTAGCCTAATTTAACCTTACCTAATTTAACTTACTGTAACTTAGAGAGGTGTCCTTGAATTAACTCTCAATTGGTTCAGCCATGTTAATAGTGTTATTATTATCCACTCTGTATCTGTATTTTTCTGGCTAAATAAACTGTTTCAATATCAATACGGTTAAGGTGACGTGGATAAGAGGGGCCGCAATGCTACTAGCTCTCCTACATTGCCCACTGGAGAAATCAATCGCCTGCGGGCACACACACACACACACACACACACACACACACACACACACACACTAATAACGTCGCGGAATTCCTATGCAAGAAGAAATTATCCAAATTACTAACTTCCTCTGGACAGTGGTGACTGACAATGTAAATCCAACTTAGCCTGTTTTAGATACGTGTGATTTTACTGCGGTGGATATTGCTGCTGTGAGGATTAGGTGAACTAGTTATAGATGGATCAAGGTTAATATTTATGAGTTTCGGTGGATAAAGTTACAGTGTGATGTCATGTTTCAAAACTTCAAAATCTAATAATACAGTTCGTTGATTTTTGTAGACGAAGTTTCACCATTCCAAGCGTCAGGGTACAAATTACACCGTACACAAAATATAAATATTACTAAGACGTCAGATTAACTCTATAACCCGTGTACGTAGGCCATTTCACTTTCAAATGGTGATATAACTTATTCTTGATGAAGTTTGGGGACCCTAACGGTGATAATGTCAGAGAGTTACACATGTAATTTGTTTATACAGTATATTAACAACTGTACAAATGATAAATACCCGTTATTATGAAATGTTTTAATAATAAGCGTTGCATAAGCCATTTTATCATTCACCGCTTACATATCGATACAGAACAATAAAATAACAATTAATCAAGATAAAATATTAACACGATAGATCTTAATCACAACAACTCTCTTCTAATTTCCACTATCTCTGACCTTAATGATGCGCCGTAAACAGTGAGTGAACAAACAGCCTGACCCCATCGCTGTCACGCCTTCATTAACGTCATATTGTTAGTGGCTGAAATCTAACAGTGAATTTATCCAAACCAATTCCTTGTTTGATGCAAATTTGGGAGGAAATTTTTCGATATCTTGATTAAATTCTTCGGGTTAATTTGGTTTAGTTAGAAAATAATAAAGATTGTAATGTAATTTGTAGTATTTCTGTCTAAAAATATTTCCTTGTCCAGTACTGAGGTGTAGTCAGTTGTCACAGTCTAATATAACCATCACCTCACATATATAATAATGAGATGATGTATTGACAGTCTTATATCATTATATCTAAGCCTGTCACACACTCAAATTTACACTGTATAGTTAAACGGATACCATATTAATTAATGACTCGAAGTAAATTCTGGTGGTACTTCACCAGACACGAGACATTTACGAGTATCTACACGTCATGCATGAAATTATTAATCAGAACATTAAAAAAATATGATGTTTGGTACTTTGGGAAATAGACAAAAAAAATGTTTCTATAAATTCATATAGAAAAGATACCACTTACCGGGAAGGAAAGGCTAGCAGGTCGAAGTCCATTCTCTTTATCACTACCGTCAAACTACTGCATCCGACGCTCAGGTTATCGTGGTAAACGGTCAGATGGGATCAATAACACTTTATAGAAAGATACACAAAACCAGAGGAACAACGATACTTGCCACAGCTGAGAGTTCAAGTTCATAACTCTGCCCTACGTCTCTACACTCACGTATCCAATGCTCGAGTGTTGGCGCCTCTAGGGATCCTGCGTATAAATTAACCCTAAAAATTGCTTTAAGTAAATTTATTTTTCTATCTTCTTTTTATATATATTTTTTCTCCACAGGTGATGAGAGAATTAATATACATCCCCTGGGTAGTGGTGGTCACCTTGGTAGCAGGAAGTCCGCTGGAGGTGAGTAAAAATGGCCAATCCGGGGCGGTGGATATTGACGCCACTATCCAGCAAAGTTTCACGCCCAGAATGGAAAAAAGTATGCGCTTTAACCAGCTGGTGGTCGCCAAATTACAGCATAGTCTCAAAACCCTCGCCAGGGATAAAAGACTAACTCAGCCTGCAGGTGAGAATAATAGTACAACTCAATGTTTTCAAGATAATTTTATACATTTTGTGTCAGTAAAACTTAATTCCATGAATTTTAAGATTTAACACAAATACATGACATTATCGCACTAGTATTTGCCAGTTTACACTACTTACATTATCCGATAAAATCTTGCTTTGTAGATATAGAGACGGCTGAAGACCGAGTGTTTGCACAACTGCTGGAGAAGATCGGCGCCCTCAATAAGGCCCTTGAGTCCCTCGAGGAGTCAGTCAGCATCCTCAGCACCCGCTTGTTGGATGCTGCAGGTGAGTGTGTGTGCGTGAGTGTGAGTGTGAGTGTGTGTGCGTGAGTGTGTGTGCGTGTGTGAGTGTGTGTGTGCGTGTGTGTGTGAGTGTGTGTGATATTGAAATGTGTTCTATACCTAAATACTGTAGTTGTCTACTATATGCTTGTATTTATTTTTTTACTGTTATTAGTATTTGACAAGTATTATGTAGAGGGTTGATGGATCTCTTCCACTTGATAATTTTCTAGGTATAGAATCAACGTCCGCGAAAACAACAACAGCTAAACGATTAACAACAGTTGAAGCACTAACACCTGAACGATTAACAACAGTTGAAGCACCAACAACTGAACGATTAACAACAGTTGAAGCATCAACAACTGAACGATTAACAACAGATGAAGCATCAACAACTGAACGATTAACAACAGTTGAAGCATCAACAGCTGAACGATTAACAACAGTTGAAGCATCAACAACTGAACGATTAACAACAGTTGAAGCACTAACAGCTGAACGATTAACAACAGTTGAAGCACCAACAACTGAACAATTAACAACAGTTGAAGCACCAACAACTGAACAATTAACAACAGTTGAAGCACCATCGTCACCACAGCCGTGTAACCTGACGACACATTTCAAGTGTGATAATGGAAGCTGCTTCTCACAAGATCTGCGCTGCAATGGAATCTCCGACTGTCAGGATGGCAGCGATGAGCCTGTTGATTGTGCTAAAGAACAGGTGAGGAGGTTGATGGTCTCCACGATTATATATGACGACAGAACATACATACACTGTCTTTTGTACACACACACACACACACACTCACACACACAAGCACTTTAGCATGAAGCGTTAAAGGTACCTAACTACACTATACAGGTTACATATATATTTTACTTTTATCCTCTTCGCCACTGATCGGCTTGTTAGCCGCTTGGGCGATCGGTCACGTCTCTTTTCATTTATATTCTTCACCAAAAGATCGGCTCGCTAGCCGCCCGGGCGATCGGTCACGTCTCTGTCACGCACTGTTGGCAAATACTGGGCATGCACCGGCTCTTGAATGTACCTGAACCCGCTCCAGTGTTGGTCAAGTCTTCTCTTGAAAGAGCTCACACTCGGTGCCGTCACAACACTCTCTGGTAGATTGTTCCAAGAGTTTACAACTCTCACTCCGAAAAAGTTTGCCCTCACGGTTTTCTGGACTTGCGGCTTCTTCAATCTTGAGCTGTGACCCCTTGTGGGGCGAGCGTCCGCCAGCTCCAAGTAAGGACACTCAACTGAGTAGTGCCCCTGAGATGCTTATAAACCTCAACTAGGTCCCCCCTTGCCCGTCTGTAGTATAAGCTAGGCAAGTTCAGGCGCTCCAATCTCTCAGGGTAGCTGAGGTGCCGAAGTGCAGGCACCAGTCTGGTGGCCCTCCTTTGAACATTTTCAACCAACTGACAGTCCCTAGCATATCTCGGGGACCAGATGGGGTGACAGTACTCCAGATGGGGAAGCACTTCACTTTTACTTTATTGTATAGTATTTTTAATTTCGTATTTACTCCTGGTCAATTTTTAAAACAATATCCTATATTTATTTCAAAATATCGAAAACTTTTTAGTGGTTGATTTGGAAAGTAAGGGAAAATTCCCCAAGAATTCTTTTTAGATAGTGAAGATGTTGATAACTTTATTGTTACCAGTTACCACCACTACTACTGCTACTACCACTACTGCTGTTACTACCACTACTACATAACATAATAACAACATAAAGGTCTGCCGCCCCAGTAATTCTAATACTAGAGAAGATTGGCCCCACTCAATGTAAAATATTTTATCCTCCGAGAAGTGGCGACGCCAAGCAGCTGGGGCTATAAGCTCTACGGTGAAGCACGTGTGTCCATAAGAGTGCGCCGTCCTTAGTTTATATTCCTTGGCTACCCTCAACACTCTTAATGTTACAAGTATACTACGGACAACACCACAACTATATATTACTGATTTTAATTTACAGTAGACAATAAAAAAAATACAAACTTAACTTAGTAAAAAAAGGTAAAAAAAAATATTTGAAGCTCATTTTATCTATTTATTTAGCTTATAATTAATATATTATTAAATGGTCGTGTTCGTGACTTACAGCCAACATTGCTATTTTGAGGTCGTTGTGCACTGACCTCAAAATGTAAACACCAGTTGATAATATTTTTGTGTATTACAACTTTATCTCACCAGAAAACATCATTTCATCGAGTATAATCTGGGATTTGAGTGTTTTTGTGTACGTTTATTAACATATAACTTAATTGTAGTGGAGACATATTACTATTACTGAGGTTTTTACTTGAAATAATAATATACTAAGGGAAGGTTGAGGACCTGAGGTGTATCTCCGGGTGTTAGCCTCTTGGGCACAATACCGCGATAAGTAAAGGTTCAACTATACACACACTTGTCTATTTTGTTAATTCATAATTATCCTGACCATACTCACAGAGGGCCTCTTGTATACTGTATAATGTGTAGGCGTAATTGTCGAGAAAAAATAATTGAATTAAACCAAAATTTGGGGAAAGACGAAATACCATGGAAGTTAGGTGAAGTTAGACCAGGTTCTGTGTATTCTCGCTTTTCCATTTTCGTGTTCAGGATTATGATATAGTTTTCAACCCTAAACGAGAAAAATATCCCTAGACCAGCTAGTGATAACTTTAGTTCATTATTTACCTTGATAAATATTCGTTAGTTGCCATGCACAAAAATTACAGGGAAAATAGGTTTGGTAATGGTGGAGGAGACAGTTTGCAGCAGAAATGTTATTCGTATGTGATTACTAAACAGGAGTAGAAAATGACGATGCCCAGAACCTAACCTAACCCAATCTAACCTAACCTACCTAACCAGACCTTTGTAACGGCAAAAGAAACATATCGTAATATGAAGGTGGGTCGAGTGCATCGCTGGCAACTGAGAGTTACGCCTGAACATGAATTTTCCTTAATTTCACTTCCCTGCCGCACAATTTTGACCCTTAAGAAACACATGAAACTTTTGATAACATGGATTGTCCGGTAAACGAAGCCATAATTGTGTTAATAGGCTAATGTGACTCCAACTCTCCTTGTGGTAGAACAATAGGAACATACAGTTGACATAGAATCCAATCCTATTAAATAGTAAACCAAAGACAATCATTCCTATTAATTATGGTATTATAAACCCCAATCAGATCCTCCATTGTTTCTTGTATTTGTTGACAAGATCGGATACACTCCCTTATATCTTAACGGTGGCAGGATGATGGTCACCTACAGAACACTTTAGAGACGGTTTAATACTGCCATGCGGTATTGTTTTTGCTCTGTTTTACCCAGTAATTTCTATCTCCTTCCATGTCGTGCTTACTACAGGTGACTATGATTGAAGATAAAGAAAAATAAAATAAGGAAAAAAAGCGTATAATTTTTATTAATTACTATGGAAAATATGAACAAAGTTAATTCGTTATTTCTGCTGCAAATCATCTCCATTATTATCAATTTTTTTAGTAATTCTCGTTGTTTCATATCAATTTGACCATTAGTTCTGTCTTAAATAGCTAGTGAATGATAAATCAACTTATTACGTATACAATAATAAATCTCTCTCTGATTTCAGGTTACGTGTGACAGCGCTTTTGATTTTGCATGTTTATCAGGTGATGAATGCATACCTCTTGCATGGCAGTGTGACAGTGATGATGACTGTACGGACGGCAGTGATGAAACGACATGCCTCGGGGTGGGTTACTAGTTACTGTAGAGTCAGTATTAGGTATGGTAACTGTTATGTAGGGGTCAACCAGAAGAGATAGTCAGGTGTTAGTGCCCTGGTAGATAGTCGGGTGTTAGTGCCCTGGTAGAGATAATCAGGTGTAAGTGGCTGGGCAGAGATAGTCGGGTGTTAGTGGCCTGGTAGAGATAGTCAGGTGTTAGAGACCAGGCAGAGATAGTCAGGTGTTAGAGATTATATAACAATGTCTGCTGCTGAATTGAAATATTAAGCATAAATTCTCTCATATCAGTTAATAGTTTCAATTGTTAATCACTCAAATTAATTTCCTTATTGGCTTTTATTTATTTATAATGACGATGATGCCCACAAAAGATTTCACCATGAGCTGGGCTGGGTAATGATGGGTGCTGTACAGTTGTTTATACCTGCTATATGATACACAATATGTTGATCTGACCAAATGATGCTGAGTAGTCTGGTGATCTTAGTGTATTTTATTGGTTAGGTTTGCTTGGGTTACTTTACCTTACCTGTTGTGAGGATAATGGGGATGCTATAACACCCACCAATGGCCAACCCAATTATTGTGTTTTATTTTTGTAAGTTTTGTTTATGATAAAAAATATCCACCAAATATTGAGGAAATTAATTTCTTTGATTGAGAATTAAAACTTGATTATTTAATAACATGTTTTTTGTTGAGAGATTTTCAAAAGCAGGACAGTAAAATCGTCATACAAATTTACATTGATTCAGCTTGTGTATAGCCAGTGCAGGTATACAATTAAGCACGTGTATAGACAATGCAGGTACAGTATATAATTAACCACATGTATAGCCAATGCAGGTACAGTATGTAATTTAGCATGTGTATGGATGCATGTGTTACTGTAACTCAATAAATACTGTACCATTCAAACAATTTATGGTAGAAACAATTTTATCTCTTGTTATGCTTAAGATCTGTAATGCCAATGCATCAGAATGATACTGAAAATGTATTTATTTCAGCGCACGTGTCAAGCAAATCAGTTTGCCTGTTTAACAGGAGGTAGGTGCTTACCCCAGACTTGGAATTGTGATGGTGATAATGACTGTGATGACGCCAGTGATGAAAAGGGATGCGAGGAAGTAAGTTCACTGGTAATTCTGTCTAATCTGTGACACATCGCTCACCTCCCTATCTTGGAGTAGCCATGTTAAAAGAGCCGTTTTGTCTTGAACACCAAGAACTAAATATATTTAAGGAATTAATTGTATTATTTTTTTTCCTCAGGTTGCTTGTATGGAAAGTCAGTTTACTTGCAAAACAGTTAATAAATGTATAAGTTCCAATTGGCTGTGTGATGGGGATGATGATTGCCCGGACTCCAGTGATGAAGAAAATTGTGGAAAGGTAAGAAAGATTAAATAGTTAAAGCTGTAGCATGAGGATGTAGAAATAAGAGTAACTGTAGAGACATTAAAACAGAAAAGGTGGACTAAGTAAGACCCATTGGCAAATTTGTTGAAGGTAAAAGGGTGGCCAATTTGTTGGGGGTAAAAGGATAGCCATAGTGTTGGAGGAAAAGTATGGCCATAGTGTTGGAGATAAGAGGAAAACATACAAAAAAAAATCTCATAAAATAATATAAAATGTCGAGTCATATTTTTATTCCAATAATAACATACACTGTGCTTAAAACTTATGTACGTGATTGTAATATTTGAGAGAAGAGATTTTATAATATATTACCACATCTCAGACTTTGTTGATTCAGGGGTGATTTATTTATTTATTTATTTCAGGTTGAGTGTGGTGAGAATGAGTTCAAGTGTTTGTCAAATAGTGCCTGCATAGATTCCAGCTGGCATTGTGATGGAGATGATGATTGTACAGATGCCAGTGATGAATATGGCTGCTTTGAGGTACGTGACCAGTGTTGCAGTGTGTTTGGTTAATGTGTGAGGGTGAAATTAACATATATTGTATTGCATTTTATGGTAAAAGACCTTTTTTTTCTTTCAGCACAGGTAATTATAAAGGTACATGTGATTAAGTTTTCCTTCATTCCTTATTAAATCATCTGTAGTTACAAGTTCTCTTCATTATTTTCTTCAGGTTAGAGAGGTTCATTCTACATAAGGGTTTACCTCTGTATATACTGTATAGATTTTTGTATGATTGCATAACACTAATCTGTGAGTTACATTACTGTATTGGATGAGGTAATGGTATACAGGAGGTCCCCGACTTGCGAACACCTGCTGATACAAACGAGGTTGAACTTGTAATTTACTGTATTTTATTTACCTGATGAATTGTTTTTTACTTCCATTTACTGTATTTTGTCATTCTATTTCTTCTTTTGTCTTAAATTAAGTGACTTTAGATGTATACAGTATAAGGACTTGGGCTATGATATAGTGGCATTTTAAACATTGTTCTGTAAGTACAGTATGCACATGGCAGGTGTTCTGACTTACGTACAAATCCGACTTAAGAACGTCCTCAGGAATGGAACCTGTTCGTAACCCGGGGGATCCTCTGTAATAACATAAAATCAGATCTTTGTATTTGAATATGGTATATTGCTTTGCCTTGTACTTTATAGACTGTATTCCATTCCTAATTTAAATAAAGGTGTGGAACAGGTGTAGCAAGTCTCATTAGGCAGACAATGATATAGTGAGGTGAGACAAAGTATTGTATTTTTGTTGTGGATGTTTCAGTTACGAGGGTTTAAATAATAAACATTGTTCACTATGTCTTGGTTTCTTCTAACAAGTAATGTAAAAATACTAGAATATTCTTATTGTCTAAATTCTAAATTTCTCTCGTCACTTTGCCGTCCCTGGTTATAAACGTGTGCCATTGCTGCAACGACTAGTTTTATTATTATGTTTTTCACTGTTACTGGTGGAGTGTGGCTGTCATCAAGAGCAACAGTTCTACCTTTAATTACTGCCATTAATTATCTCTTAACAGCTGTAATGGAGGAAATTTATGTTGCTTATTATACCGTCCATCCTAACAAAAAATTCTAGCTTGCTTTAGCCTGTTGACAAGTGATGTTAAAGCATTTTTCTATACTTCTTCGATAAAACAAAATACAGTACCGTATATTCTTCTTCCAGGCCGTGTGTGGTGATGCATACTTCAAGTGTGCGTCAGGTGACAAGTGTGTATATACCCATTGGAGCTGTGATGGTGATGATGACTGTGGGGACGGTAGTGATGAACTTGGCTGCAACTCAACAGAGGTAAGCTGTGGGAAGGTAGAGCTGGCCTGTAACCTGGTACAGAGGTAAGCTGTGGGAAGCTAGAGCTGGCCTGTAACCTGGTTCAGAGGTAAGCTATGGGGAGGTAGAGCTGGCCTGTAACCTGGTACAGAGGTAAGCTGTGGGGAGGTAGAGCTGGCCTGTAACCTGGTACAGTAGAGACAAACACTGTCTAAAGTAATAAAAATAGTTAAGAAGGAGATGAAGGAACAGCTGATGTATTGATTGGCAGCTGAGAAAATGATGAGTGAGAAATTATAAAGAACATTTTATTTATGTTTAAGAAAAATATGGCAAATTAGACTTAATCCCTTTGATTAAATATGGATTAGAGTCAAATTAAGTATTGTAACTGTACAGTACATCACACTCTTTTTATGAATAACTCCGGAGAAATAATTATTTTTTCCTTATATTTATCCTCAGATAAAATGTGATGCCACAGAATTCCAGTGTTTGATCCTTGAAGAGTGTTTCCCTCAGTCCAAAGTGTGTGATGGTGTTAGTGACTGCACAGATAACACCGATGAGGCACAGTGCCCCTCCCACCCTGAGACAGAGCCACCCACTGATTCACTTACAGAGTCTCCCACTGAGCCACCCACTGAAATAACCACTGATTTACCTGATGCACCTCTTACAGAATCTCCCACACACACTCCAGTGGGTTACTTCACAGAGCCGCCTCCCTCAGTGCTACTTGTTGGCGAGGCGTATCCTCAGGTACGCTGATTTGTTTATCCATAGTTATCACAGCAGGGAATTAATATAATAATCAGCTTTTTCTTCTGGTGGACAGGTTCTGAAATTGTTAAGTAATGGTGGTTTTATTTATGGGGAAGTTAAGCTTTAAATGTTGAAGAAAATGTCTTATTAATGTTGAAGAATATGTCTTATGTTTAATGAAAATAGCAACATATTCTCATTATGTAGTTGATTTAATGATTTTACTAATAATAGTTTGTGATTAACTGTACATTTTGTTAAGTGGCTGATTACTTACAATTTAAAAGTCGAAATTTTACAGAAGAAAGGTTTAGAATATCATGATACATCACCCTTCAGTATTTTGTTTCACACCGACATCTTTCAGGTTGTTTGTAAAGAAGACGAGTTTAAGTGTTCGTCATACAACAGATGTATACGTTTACTATGGAAATGTGACGGGGAAGACGACTGTTATGATGGCAGTGATGAAGCCGACTGTCAGGTGACTAAACGAGGTTATGGTTTCTAAACGATGTATCGGAAATGTAGGTAATTTTTTATTCTAGAACCCTAATTGATTATTATTTTTTAGGACGTGCAATAATCAAGAAACATAAAAATCAGTAGGTATAAATTCTGATCATTGTGAAGATATACAAGTCCCTATTTATTGCATGTCCTAGAATATAATAATAATTTAAGGTTCTTGAATAAAAAAACTACCCTATAGAAAGCCTGTTTTTAATATATAGTTTTCCTATTGTACACATTTAATAATATACGATCTAAGGTGATTGTAATATTTCTTAGAGATTGTGTTTACTTATCTTATTAACATCATCTGTGAGAGTAAACGGTTGGGGAAGTGAGGAACGATATTAGGGGTTCTTCAGGGGCCTGTCTTGAGTGCCTCTCTGTTTATCATGATGCAGGAGGCAATATCACAGGTCTCCCCGTGTAGTATTAAAGTTATCAACACTAATACATATACGTAACACACAACCTGAATTTTTAATGTCTCCGTTCATTAAAAATACTTCACGTCAGTTCACTGTGCATACTAAGTGGTGAGATTTTTCATGTTAATCTTATCACTTAAGTATGAAATGTACCAAACAGATTACTGTATGAAATATGGATGAAAGAGAGTTAACAAGACTGAATAACATTTTACTGAATAATTTATACAGTAGTATGACGTATAATACATAGCGTATATTGTAGTATTAACTTGGCTTACTCTTCACACAGGGATGCAGGGGTAATGAGATGCGTTGCGACAATGGCCGTTGTGTTCCGGAAGCTTGGCAGTGTGATGGTGAGGATGACTGTTATGATGGCACCGATGAACGCAACTGTACAGAGGTTGGTATCTGCTCCATAATAAAATTTAATAATAACTGACTTTCCTCAATAGAAAAAAGTTTACTGAAATTACTGACTTGTTTCATATTGAGGACATTTTAGTATCACTGTACAGGGCTCTTACTAGTACATTTGTTAATAAGAGAAGTAATTTAGCAGTTATAGAATAAGTTTATGAATATTAAGTGTGTGATTGTACTAATTATTACCTGTATCTCATGCTGCTGCTGCTGCTGTAATTTTATGAATCATGAAAAGATATTTACAAAAATCTTCAATTAAATGTGACTCACTTAATGATTTTGTATTGATATATCACTTACCAGCATCTTTAACCTGCAGTAGATTAATGTTTTACTATTGAAGATGGATTAACTTCATACAACCTTCATTCTACAGATGTATACTGTTGACCAGCTCTTATATTCTTATATCATAGTTCATTGAGAACAACAGAGGTTCCACACTGATTAGAAACTGTTTTAAGGGACATTCAGATTGTCTATTTTACGACAATATGTCTGGTGTCAACTTAGGTGACCATCATAGTGCACAGTATACACTACAAGGAAACTCCTAAGCAACTCTGCCTAGACACAGAATTAAACATTTGTCTCATAGATTAGTAGTCCAGAGTGGAACCCATAGAGAGGAAAAGTAAGAGTGAATATATTAATCATTTTAATAAGTAAGTAACACTAAGTCACTGTGATCTCTTGGTACATAAAATTTTGTGTCAGTTGAAGACATAAATTGATGCCTTGCAGGTTTGCCCAGATAACACGTTTAGATGTACAGATGGTGCCTGTATACCCAACACCTGGAGATGTGATGGCGGTGCAGATTGTCACGATGGAGTTGATGAAGCTAACTGTATGGTAAAGATACATAAATGGTCTCTGTTGATGGAGTTGATGAAGTTAACTGTATGGTAAAGATACATAAATGGTCTCTGTTGATGGAGTTGATGAAGTTAACTGTATGATAAAGATACATAAATGGTCTCTGTTGATGGAGTTGATGAAGTTAACTGTATGATAAAGATACGTAAATGGTCTCTGTTGATGGAGTTGATGAAGCTAACTGTATGGTAAAGATACATAAATGGTCTCTGTTGATGGAGTTGATGAAGTTAACTGTATGGTAAAGATACGTAAATGGTCTCTGTTGATGGAGTTGATGAAGTTAACTGTATGATAAAGATACATAAATGGTCTCTGTTGATGGAGTTGATGAAGTTAACTGTATGGTAAAGATACATAAATGGTCTCTGTTGATGGAGTTGATGAAGCTAACTGTATGGTAAAGATACGTAAATGGTCTCTGTTGATGGAGTTGATGAAGTTAACTGTATGATAAAGATACATAAATGGTCTCTGTTGATGGAGTTGATGAAGTTAACTGTATGGTAAAGATACATAAATGGTCTCTGTTGATGGAGTTGATGAAGAACTGTATGGTAAAGATACTGTCTCTGTTGATGGTTGATGAAGTTAACTGTATGGTAAAGATACATAAATGGTCTCTGTTGATGGAGTTGATGAAGTTAACTGTATGGTAAAGATACATAAATGGTCTCTGTTGATGGAGTTGATGAAGTTAACTGTATGGTAAAGATACATAAATGGTCTCTGTTGATGGAGTTGATGAAGTTAACTGTATGGTAAAGATACATAAATGGTCTCTGTTGATGGAGTTGATGAAGTTAACTGTATGATAAAGATACATAAATGGTCTCTGTTGATGGAGTTGATGAAGTTAACTGTATGGTAAAGATACGTAAATGGTCTCTGTTGATGGAGTTGATGAAGTTAACTGTATGGTAAAGATACGTAAATGGTCTCTGTTGATGGAGTTGATGAAGCTAACTGTATGGTAAAGATACATAAATGGTCTCTGTTGATGGAGTTGATGAAGCTAACTGTATGGTAAAGATACATAAATGGTCTCTGTTGATGGAGTTGATGAAGTTAACTGTATGGTAAAGATACATAAATGGTCTCTGTTGATGGAGTTGATGAAGTTAACTGTATGGTAAAGATACATAAATGGTCTCTGTTGATGGAGTTGATGAAGTTAACTGTATGATAAAGATACATAAATGGTCTCTGTTGATGGAGTTGATGAAGTTAACTGTATGGTAAAGATACAAATGGTCTCTGTTGATGGAGTTGATGAAGTTAACTGTATGGTAAGATACATAAATGGTCTCTGTTGATGGAGTTGATGAAGTTAACTGTATGGTAAAGATACGTAAATGGTCTCTGTTGATGGAGTTGATGAAGCTAACTGTATGGTAAAGATACATAAATGATGGAGTTGATGAAGTTAACTATGGTAAAGATACGTAAATGGTCTCTGTTGATGGAGTTGATGAAGCTAACTGTATGGTAAAGATACATAAATGGTCTCTGTTGATGGAGTTGAAGATACGGTCTCTGTTGATGGAATGAAGCTAACTCGTAAATGGTCTCTGTTGATGGAGTTGATGAAGTTAACTGTATGGTAAAGATACATAAATGGTCTCTGTTGATGGAGTTGATGAAGTTAACTGTATGATAAAGATACATAAATGGTCTCTGTTGATGGAGTTGATGAAGCTAACTGTATGGTAAAGATACATAAATGGTCTCTGTTGATGGAGTTGATGAAGCTAACTGTATGGTAAAGATACATAAATGGTCTCTGTTGATGGAGTTGATGAAGTTAACTGTATGGTAAAGATACATAAATGGTCTCTGTTGATGGAGTTGATGAAGTTAACTGTATGGTAAAGATACGTAAATGGTCTCTGTTGGAAAAGAATCATGAATGGTACAGTCATCCCACGATTACAAACAGTTTTACAAAGAGATTTTTAAGAATTATGTGCTGCTTGAAGTATGAAGTTTACAAAGATATTCTAATGAAAGTTATGATATAAGGCATTGCTGGATAAACAAAAGGCTTAATTTACAAGTGGTTCTCTCTACTGGCTCTCTATGTAAATCTGAGGATGCCTGTACCATTTTATCTGCAAAGTATATGGTTTAGAAATATTATTCATGGTAGGTATTTTATTTAACATTGCTTATGATGCTATATTTAACATTACCCATAGTACAGTTCTTTATTTAACATTGCCTATGGTGCTATATTTAACATTTCCCTTGTCACGGTAAAGATATGAATGGTCGTTAACTGGAAATGTGTTATTCTGTACTATGTGGTTAAATTTATGTAACTTCTATGATATTACACATTAGATAAAACTGTGTCCTAATTGTTGAATGGTTTTTATCTTAAGGGAACCTGCAATAGTGACCAGTTTGCCTGTTCCTCTGGCATCTGTGTACCGAAGACGTTTGTTTGTGATGGTGACAAAGACTGCAGTGATGGTGGTGATGAACACTTATGTCCTCCAGTTAGTTAATCAGTCATGTTCTTGTCCTCCAGTTAGTTAATCAGCCATGCTCATGTCCTCCAGTCAGTTAATCAGCCATGCTCATGTCCTCCAGTTAGTTAATCAGTCATGTTCATGAGGTGTTTCTCATTATTATAATCAATAATTTTTTGATTGAAAGTTTACCTAAAGTTGTGTGTTTATGTGAAAATAAAAAATAAAAATATTATTCATCATTAAGTTGAAAACAAAGAAGTGTGAAGGTAAGGTTTATATACACTACAGTAGAAGGATTATTGGATACAAAAGGGTACAAAATGTTTGTTTAAATTATGCATTTGAGAAAAGGTTCTCTGTACACACTGTCATCAAGTACACCATAATCATCAAAGGAATTTCTATTACTTTTACTTTTACCCTCTTCACCACTGATCGGCTCATTAGCCGCTTGGGCGATCGGTCACGTCTCTGTTACGCACTGTTGGTCTTTGGAATACACCTAATACATACTGTACACTAAACAATACAGTATTGACTAGACTTGATACTTTAACGACTATGCTTACTGCTGCATCACATAATCCTGTAGTGTTTGAGAATTTTAATGTGGATGTGATCACCATTATATCTGGTAGGAATGCAACAACCTCTGTAAATTTTAATGAGGTAACTTAATTATCAACAGGTTGTGATATTACAAGCTTATGCAACATTGGGCCATGGAGGAAATCATTAGTAAAGACATTGAACCCAATCTCAGTCTCCTTTCTAAACTGTCCATTACTTAGATCATTCCATCATACTGAATTGCTAGTTTTAACATCAATAGATTAATCCTTACTTATTCAATGGCCAGACTACCATATACATGTGTAATGGGAATAGCTTATGTTCTCTCAGATCACACCCTATAGACTAAATAACCAACAATTTTAACTCTCACAGATCACTTGTAACGAAAAGGAGTTCAACTGCACCTCTCATGGCATCTGTATCCCACTTTCGTTTGTGTGTGATGATGATAAGGACTGTCCTGATGGTGCTGATGAGAACAACTGTCTTAAGGTAAGATATAGGATTAGAATCTATTAATCACCCTTTAGGAAAAGGAAGAGATAGGAAGTAGACATATTTGTTTACATCTCAGTAGTTTAGGTAGAATTGAATGTGTCAGTGGAAGAGTTTACTTCTTAATGTATCTTATTTTCTTAATTGAATATGGAATGAGACAAGATGAAATCAATAGCTGTACAGTACATTAATTATGGCTTGTTTACTCCAACAGGTTGTGTGCACTGAAGCACAGTTTAAATGTTTGCTTGATGGCTCCTGCATCCCTCTGGCCTTCAAGTGTGATGGAGACCCAGACTGCAGAGATGGCAGTGATGAAGAACAGTGCCCCAACCAGCCAGATACAACACCTACTACAGTTCTGCCTGACACCGTGCCGACCACAATCCTGCCTGACACCGTGCCTACTACAATCCTGCCTGACACCGTGCCTACTACAATCCTGCCTGACACCGTGCCTACTACAATCCTGCCTGACACCGTGCCTACTACAATCCTGCCTGACACAATACCTTCTGCAATCTCCATGACAGTTGACGAAGGTTCCAAGAAAGTGAGTTTTTTGCTCACACTTAATCTTGAATTTTGAATTGATGCTCTTATTTAAAGTCAAGTATAGTTATTATCAGGTACTATATATTCACATCCATACAATTAAGAGCACTTATTGATAGTTAAGTATAGTTTATGCCTTAAGATAAGCTAAATAAGTTTACAATAAGAGAATAAGCTAATTTAAGGAGATATTTTTAGTGTTTGGGGACTTAACAAGTAATTGAAGAGATAAAGGTTGAAACTCCAGTCCAGGTGGTGAGGTAAAGTACTGTATGCAGATGAGAAGTGATAAATCGTCCTTGACAGTATATTGATGTGAGACAATTTGGTCTTTAAAAGTTTTGTTATAGTATTTGTTATAATATCTTACAAAGAATTCAATAAATCACTCTTTGAGGATGCTGCTTTATTGATTAACCTCTCTATGACTCCGCTTACTTTCAACTCACAGACCAATGAAATCTGTCTTGCAGGAACATTCTCTCTATGACTCGGCCCACTTCCAACTCACAGACCAATGAAATCTATCCTACAGGTACATTCTCTCTGTGACTCTGCCCACTTCCAACTCACAGACCAATGAAATCTATCCTACAGGTACATTCTCTGTAACCATATCTTTTTACATGTTGGGTTACTACATACTTTATAGCATGAATCCCATAAGAAAATACCAGAAACACAGATTTGATTTTTTTTTAACAAGAATAACATAACAGTTATGGTGTAAAAGTGTTGTTACCTCGGCAGCTGATCCATGTATGTGAGTTGTCAATGTTACTTGGGACAGATGGGAGCTTGCAGAGTGTAGTCAGTAGGTCAGTTGCTTACACTTGTGTCCAAAGTAAAACTAAATTCTGAGAATCTTTCCTGAGTCAAGATCTGGCAAACTTGTACAAAGGATGTCAATCTTCTATCTTCTGTGGCTACTTTTATTTAATTTTCTCTTTTACCTCATTCCTTTCTTGTGCCTCTCAGAATTTTCCTGTTCCTTATGTACAAAGTTTGAAGAGGAGAGGTGTAGTAGAGGCTGCCACCCGGACATGGAACTCTTACTCAACATTTTTCTTTCTTGGTAAATAACTAATGATAGCGATGCCTTTAGTTATGTTACTTGCAAATTAGTATGTAAAACATTGTAATCATTGTTTTGTGAGTTACTTGAGAGTCTGTCAACCTTAGAAGATATACAGAACAGATGTAGAAATAATTCCATATGTGACCATCCTAAGTCCTGGAGAAAATAAGACAAATTATCAAGCATATATATTCATATTAGTTATACTCTCAGTCAGTTATATTCAGTATATTTTATTCTCATTATTATTATCAGAATCATGGTATATAAATGTCTCTTTTTAATGCATTTTCTAGGGAATCTGTTCGGTGGAGGAATTCAATTGTACTGCAGGGGAGCGATGTGTACCGTTGTCATGGCAGTGTGATGGTAGTCAGGACTGTCTGGACAAAAGTGATGAGCTGGGCTGTCCTCAGGTATATTTCTCTTTATTTTTTATTGATGATTTATGGATTTAAACTATAATTAGATCAAATAAATATAAGTTCCATATTCATTTTCATTGTATTCTGAAGGTGCTGTACTGTAGTAAATTACTTTATATTTCTGTTGGTAATGATCAGTATGTTTAACAGTTACAAATAACAAACATAACAGTGTGAGAATCATTCAATACCCAAAGTGGAGATGTTATGAACTATGGTACAGTCCCCTTCACTAGTGCGTGTACGGGGGCTCGTCAGGTTTTGTGCAGCGTGGCAGCGTTGTGTTTGTTTACATTCAAAAGAATTAAATTCACAATAGTAAACATACTATGGAAGTAAATTAAAGCAATATTAAAACAAATATCTCAGAGATAATGATTTATGGATTGTTTATATGATGGGCCCCTGTAAACACACTAGTGAAGGGGACTGTCCATAAGATCTGTTGAAGGTATTACCAAGTTTTGTGTACTGGCTGCACTGTGATGATAAATGAGATATAATGTAGATAGTTCAAATTATGTAGTTATTTAATTACCGGTAACCTAACCTCACAGATGTTTCAAAAGACATCCTATATACTGTACAGTGAAACTCAATATAACAGACTCTTCTCTTCATGTAATCTGTTAGATGGAGGTTTCATATCTAACAGAACCTCGATATAACAAACTTTCATCTCTATATAGTTCGTTAGATCTAGGGTTTACATCTAACGGACCCTCGATATAAGGGACTTTCCTCTCCATTTCTTAATATACGATTTTGTTTTGACTTACAGGTGGATGGATGCAGCTTACAGCGTGGTCAGTTTCCATGCCAGAATAGCACAGTGTGTCTCACCTCTGATCTAGTGTGTGATGGCCTCCCACACTGTGAGGGTGGTAGTGATGAAGGTATTGGCTGTGGTAAGTACCTCCCAGTGGGTAGCTTCTGCTTGTGCTAATAATAGTAACATAATACCTGGAAAGACAAGGCAGGTATACATAGACCATGAACGTGCAGTATACAATTTCCAATGTACAGTACCTGGACAGTGCAGATATATAACAATAGTAAATAGTAAGACAATTTGATCAAGGATAGTTTATAAAGTCATCAGATGCTTATTTCCAGTAGAGTCCTTTGTTTAGGCTTGAGTACTAATCAATTGCCAGTACTTACCTATTGCCAGAACTTATCTCTGGTGTGTGCAGGGGTTAGCCACAGTCATGCCTGGTTATAGACAGTACTCTACTTGATTGTGGCAGTGTTAGGTGTATTGTGGTTAGATTAGGTTAAAATGTATGATACAAGACTTATTTTACAGGTGACTCCTGCTCGGTGATAAATTGTAGCCACAGCTGCTTCATGACACCTGATGGACCCCAATGTACCTGTCCTCCTAACCTCACTCTCAACCTCCGCGGTGATACATGTCTGGGTGAGTCAGGGCGGAGAAAAAGAATGAGAAATTAATAACATCAAGAAGAGATTAAATGTAATAAACTACAACACTTGGAGGAAGGGAATGAGCGTCTACCACCAATTTTCTTCAATATGTTATCAATAATTATGTTGGTGCTACAAATTTGTTGCGAGTTTAATAATCAGGAAAAATAACACATTGAAAAGCAGAAGAGAACTGAATGGGGATTATGGTACTGTACCATGTTTTGTATCTTATCGAAGGTACAATACTGTATATGAAATTGAACTGAAAAATATTTTAGATGTATGAATATTTTATGTCAAGGTTTGGTCATGTGAACTGAATTTTTGCATTGGAAATTACGACTGAAAAATTATGTGTAGGATTTTCATGAAAGTTGGTGGTAGATGTTGTTTGAAAGGTCCTGGAAAAGTGATTGATTTAGTATATAGTTTTACTGAGGATTAGGTTATTTGCTAAGACTAATGTAGTTATTAAATAAACTTCATAATAATTATTTTGTAAAGATTTTAAATGATGTTATGTAACTATCATGAGAGAATAAACTTACTAACTAAACTAAAAACTAAAATCATGTGATAAAAATTATTATGCTGACCATTATGGAAAATTTCAGATGGCCATTCATCAGGTTACATGTTAGTGGGCCTTAAAAATAAGTTGGAGGCTCACGCACTTGATGGCTCCAATGGCTTCACTGTCTATGAGGGCAAGACCAATACTTCTGGGGTAAGTTCCTGTGTCTCTTAGTTGTAGCAGACTGTTTAATTCTCCCAGAGACTTGATCAGTAATCTGTAACTCCAAAAGTAATGGTTGATTGTAATAAACCCTGTAAGTAGTAGTTATTTTCCAAAGAGTATAAGATAGGAATATACAATACCCTAAGTACTGTACTGTTTATTTGTTTACTTACCATATGAAGTTAAACTCTCCACTTTTTATAGAATTTCCCAGATCCTTAAGAAAACATCTTGACAGAGGGTTTTCATTTAGCAGCTCTGTAGAATTAGTGAATTTGCATTTTCATCAGCAGTGTGGATATCTTTATTTGTAGTTACTTGTGTCAGAAGGAGATTTAATATGCACTGTTCCCTCACTGTTTAATTTTGGTCAATATATGTTAACAGATCATAGGAGTGGCATATGACCCAGTAGAAGATTTGGTGTACTGGAGTATGAAGGAGCTTGGTGGTGTGTACCGAAGGGATCTCCATGCTGTCAAAGTACCTGAATTGATTATAGACACAGGTAAGGTCAGGTCAGGTTGTATGTGAAAAGAATGTTTTTGAATAATCATTTAATTCTGGACACTGAAGTAGAGATGTGATTGTAGGCCTAATGTCTGTTGTTCCATCATCAGTAAGTGTATCTGAAGGTGTCATTATTGGTGAGAGCACAAGGACTACTCTAGTGAACCCAATCCTCCACTCAGGGCAGAAATGGAGCCCATAATTATTACAAGTTAATGTCTGTGTGGGGCTCTTGAATCATCTTTAAAAATAATTTATATCATTGCAACGTTATTTTATTAATGCTGCTTTGTGCTGTCCTCTGATGATATTTCTCCATGCATGCCCAATCTTTTCCAGCTGTGATGCAGGGTGGTAAAAAAGGCTCTGAATCCTTGCTACTTATTTTTCTTGTTCAGTGCACAAGCTATAATTGGGTTTACTCTTGGCTTATGGAAATAATAATTTAGTGATTAATTCTCTCTATTAATAAAGCAAAGAGAGTTATGGAGGCGAAGGGGTGAAGTGATTGTAAGTATAATAGCGTGTTTACCAGCATGGTGACTGTCTCAACAGATGGGGCTATAGTAGAGGGGCTGGCACTGGACTGGATGGGTAGGAACCTGTACATGACAATCAGCGAACAAAACCGAATTGATGTGTGTTCTCTGGACGGTGTTTCCTGTGCAACACTCATCACCAACATCACATCCTGTAGAGCCATCCAACTAGATCTTCACAACAGGTCAGGATGTGTTCTCAGATACAGTACTGTAATTAGATCACATTAAATACAACTCCTCCCCGACTTACGACGGGGTTAGGGACCCAAATCCAGGTCGTAAGTTGAAAATGCTTAAATAATACATAGAAAATCTAAAATGGGTGTCTCTTTTTCTTCTCAGCACCACAAAACTCTCACTTTTAAGCTTGCCAGCCATTTTAAAGTGAATTTCAAACGAAAATTTTGTCAGATCACAGCGCAATCACTGACGTTGGGACTCGAAAATACGTAATTTGACAAAATTTTAGCACGACTGAGGTGGTCGTATGTCGGGGAGGAGATGTATTAGCTCCCCAAGGTGAAATAATCTTTGCTGTTACTTAACATTTAACAGATAACTTAACATTTAACATCTGTTAAATGTTTTATTCAAAGTTTATTCTCCTTTTCATAGGTTTTGTGTGTGTTTAGCATTTATTACAGTAATGTTGCCTGACTGTACTTGTGAGTCATTAAATATCTCTGATGAAAACTTTTCCCTAGTTCAAGATGCTATCGGTTAATTTTGATCAACAAATTGTCACAGCATTAATTATTTTCTTATTTCCTTTTGAGATTTTGTAGTGATTGGAAAACTTAACTTTACTACATGCCCTTTTCTATCCTTTTGGTATACTGGCATATTTTACCATCATCAGAAGATTATTGATATATTACTTCCATATAAATTGACTGAACATTGTTCCTTGTTTTGGGTTACTTTCTGGACCACTTGATGCACTTATATCTTGGCATCTATGAAATGTTCTACTAATGTCCATATATTAACACTTGAAAATTTAAAAAATAGTAACATCATATCAAAACATAACCTATTGTCTGTTTTTCATTCATGGATTTTTCATTTGGCATTACAGGAAAGTTTTTTGGACCAATTGGAGAGAGGGCAAAGTGGAGTCAGCAAATATGGATGGATCTGGAAGGTTGAAGATAGTGTCAGAACTGGGATGGCCTAATGCTTTGGCTCTAGACCAAAGGAAGAAGAGGATCTATTGGATGGATGCCTTAACAAACTCTTTAGAACGCATTAATTATGATGGAACCAATCGGACAGTGGGTATACATTGTTGAGTGATAAGATAATGGATGCTGTTGATTTTGTTGAAGCTATGTGGAAGTACTGTACAGTGCAGGTTGTCATTACAGTATTTTAAATAACTGATCTTCTTGTTCTCTTTAGTCTTTGGAGATCAGAAGTAATGAAAAATAAAGAGTAATGTGAAAAACAAGATTTTATTGATAAAGAATGACTCTACACTAATGTTTTAAGTGTATAAGCAATATAGGATGTCAAATTTAAAGGTTGAGCTTCTGTACTGTTCTACTGTATAATATTTTGTGTGATTTCACCATAAATAATTTTTCTTTTTAGCTTATGAGTAGTGGCAACATTTCTCATCCATTTTCACTGGACCTGTTTGGGAAGCATCTCTTCTGGACTGACTGGTTAACCCAAAAGGTTAGTGTCTTTTGTGTTCAATTTTCCACCTGACTCTCTAAACAAATGAAATTTTCTTACCATGATCATCTCTATGTACAGTTGAAATACCTTTTATAAACTCCTCAACTCTTTTTTTCTTTGCTCTTTGCTTCTATTTTGTGTTGTTATGAAACCAAATTCCACCGTCAAACACTAAACCATCCCAAAGACGAGTGAGCTGACAAGTGACAGTCTGTAAATGCAGGATGTAACTCCCCACCCATCATGTTTTACCAATTGTAGCTCAACTTATCACAAACTTTTAAGGTAGATGAGCTACATGAAGTTGTTATTTGTATATCTATTACATTTTGATGGGAATTTATCAAGTGAAAGTTGTCATAGTAAAGAGTATTTGTGTCATTCCAACAAACAATACTTGTAGTTTATATTTATATGTGGTGTAATTTTTTCATTTCCTACCAATTTTCATGACTATTATTCTGTAACACACTTGGCGTAATCTTTGGTTGCCTTTGTTTCCACTTACTCTCACGTAAACCTGCATTATTTGCCTTTATACCTCCACAATCTTGACATGTTACCTACCATCTCTCTTCATCCCAATTTGCACCACTTTTATACTACCTTTACACTTTTATCTGTAGTTCTATACCACATTATCCCAACCTGTGCCACTCATCACCCACCCAGCACCACCTTCCCTCCTGTACACATTTCAGGTAACTTTCCCACAGCCTAATGTGTATATAACGTACATACTGTCTTGTCTTCAGGTATGGACGTGCAGAAAAGGAACCTGCAGGAACATGACTCCCTTAATTAAAGAACTTCCGGGCCAACCATTTGGGATCAAAGTCATCCACCCAGACCTTTTCCCTGAGGTGAGTTGAGGTGTCACAGAGCATCTCAGGAAACAAGTTATGTAAGGATTAGAGATATGAACTGGCAGGGTACTAGAGGAAGAGAATGCAATTTATGGTACCTGGTGTCTGTAGTCAAGCATATAACTTTCCTTCTTTACCTGATCACATTAAAACAATAATAATTTTAAACAAGACAAAGTTAAAACTAAAACTATGTAACAGATGAATATGAAGCTACAGAAAAAAGAGAGTGAGTTTATATATTATTAACCACAGATGTTGTATTGTTAAAGTGAGCCATGAGCCTCCTGTAGTTATGCCATTACTGATTAGTACTCAACCCTAAGCAAAGAGCTCTACTGTAAATAATCATGTGGTGGCTTTGTCGGCTATCCTTGGTCAGATTGCCTTTCTGTTTACTATCGTTGTATACCGTCTAGTTGTGTTGGAAATTATATACCTCCCCAGTCTGTATGTGATCAAAAAGTATCTCACACCACAGACGACCGATACTATTGCTAAATTCCGTACTGTATATCGTTTGCTGGCGGCATTTCCTGTTTTATCCTTTGTAAGTATTATTATTACTGTATATGCACATTCAGAGGAAACCAAATTACTCGTGGGAACAATGTGTAGTTTGGTTCATATTAGTGGTTACGTCGCAGCATAGGTGTATTGGTCGTTTAGGAAATCATCGGATCCAATGTGTACAGAATGTTCTTTGATTATGTTTACACCCTATACCAATATTGTCTATAAACATGCTAATCCCTATACAGTATTGTCTATTATACAGTACATGACAAACCAATTGTAAGCTTGTTTTATAGTTTTGCTGAATAAATATATGAGGCATATATCCAAACACTAAACCAATAACTACTGTATGGAATAAGTTGTATTATAATTTTCTTCAGTGATGTGAACTTTACAATACCACGTATGTTAAGTCTACTTTTCTTACTGTGTTAATATCTACTTCAGGAGGTGTCTGCCGGACGAACCCCAAGGCTGCTTGTCCCTGGCCCGTCTGAGGTATGACATTTAAGTTTACAAACTTAATTTCTTTACTTAATTTTCCACACATTACATCAAGTATATGAGAAGATATTGGGCAACCAGTTAACTGGATCAGTGACTGTGAGTGATGAGTCTCCTTGTCCTCATATGAGTTTAAGGAGTAAATTACAGCTGCTCCCTGACTTATGACGGGGTTAGGGACCCAAATCCAGGTCGTAAATCGAAAATGCTTAAATAGTACATACAAAATCTAAAATGAGTCCCTCTTTTTTCTCCTCAGCACCACAAAACTCTCACTTTTAAGCTTGCCAGCCATTTTAAAGTGAATTACAAATGAAAATTTTTTCTGTGTACTGAAGTTGGGACTTGAAAATAGGTAATTTGACAAAATTTTGGTACGACTGAGGCAGGTCGTAAGTGCGGGTGGTCGTAAGTCGGGGAGGAGCTGTATATTGTGGTTGTAGCTTATTTGTATTCCTAATAACATTGCAGGTGTTAGAGAATAATGAAATAAGTTGGTGAAATAAGCATACTAGTTAAAAAATATATAATTTTAGTATCTTTTCATTATTACTGATGAAACTCTTATCATAACTGCAAATTTTCATCAGTCAAATCCTCGTAAATTGCTGTCTACCTGTACAATATTTCGTACTGTATTTTAAAGTTTGACCTGATATTCAAGGTATCAATGTTGCTTCGAATTTCATATATTGCCACATTGTAAATTACTTGCCTCGAATATAAACCACTTTGTGTTGTTTCGGTTATTTGGTATTTTCCCATATCTAAGAAGCCATTTCCCTGCATAATATCTGAACATTGCCTCAGTCTATTCTCATGAAATTTTAATAACACAATCCCTGACATCATGTGTTTCAGTGGTTTTAGAAAATAGATTCAGTGCTCCTATATACTTTCCATTGGTTTAAGTATTTACAGTGATCTTTTTACTTTACCTCCAGGTGAAGAATCCATGCAAGAGTCACAAGTGTAGCCATTTATGTTTGCTATCAACATCATCCCCTCATGGCTACACCTGTGCCTGCCCCTCACACCTGATCCTTAAGGACAACCGTCACAAGTGTGTGTCTGTTTCACACACCTGACCTTCCTACGTTTAAGCTTAGCTACTTCATCTACTGCTTACTGTTTGTGTGTAACAGTATGGCATAGGTGACCCTCCTCTCACCTCTGACACTGTCTTAGTCCATAGTTGTGGGCAGTGGATAATAGGTGTGCATGAAGCTACCTGCCTATGTTCAACAAGGATAGTGCAGGATGGTCTTTATTATTCACATGTTGTTTCATTACTTCAGTTGTAGCGTCTACCTCTGTTAAACTCTTCATGAGATGATTCATTGTGTATACAGTACTGTATTATCTTCCATTACTGCCATGTTTCACTGTTTCCAGAGTTTGCTTTGGGAACAGTTATTTTTTTGTTACCACTGAGGGTTACTAGATGTTGTTCTTGGTATTTTATGTCATTCACAGTATAATGTCCGAGCCAGCTTCTGTTTTTAGCATCATGATAGGTTTCTGATTTTGGAGAAATTTATTAGATGTCATGACTAGCCATTGGTAGAAGTATACAGTACTGTAAATTTTATAGTATTGTAGTAGTATGTGAAAGAAAGAAGTGCAAGGTCATTGATATACTCAGTATAAATTAATTACCAATTTTGTCTTTCTTATGGATTAAAATTAATGTATTTTTATGATTTTGGAAACAATGTTTTGTATTATTATTGATATTGGTATTGTGAACCGTGCATGAAGACATCGTGAAGGGTATCAGTTGATGATTAAGTGGAAAATATTTGTTATTATCCTAACTTGACCTGATAATGTTGTATGATGTATTTACAGTACATAATGTGTCTACAGATATTAAGGGAACAATAAAAATAGTTTATAAAATTTAATGAAAACTCCTTGTATCATATTATTTACTAAAACATGTAACATCTCCCCAGCACAATTAAGAGGTCCCCATGGTAGTCTAGATGTCTGTCATTTTTGTGTAGGGTCACATTGATCAGGTTTCTACCACACCACTTGATCAATACTGTTGTGGGGGCCAGCTCAGTCTGCCATGTGATCAAATACAGGCTAGTTGAGCAGTGTCCTGATTCACTAACCACTGCTCAATCAAGGAATCAAGATGTTATTTAGTTATTATAGCATATTTTGTGTGATAGGTAAGTTTAATGACATAAATTAATGTTTGACTTTCCAGAGAAGTGTGCACAACTGTTCAGTATAAAATTTCTTGTCATGCTTCTCAAGACACTTTGTTTGTCCAATGCTTTCATGTAGTTGATAGTTAAAATATAGTTAAAGTAGGGCATTATGTTACCATGTATTGTATCAAGTGATAATATGAATTACAGTACTCTATTGTTTTAATATTCCTAAACAATCCAACACTATCTAAATTGTGGGATGAATTTCTAGAGTTGCTGTGTTGAAATCCAGCCACAGTGTGTAAGAACTGCATACTGAAGATACGGTAGTTTGTTTGGGTATTGAGAAATGGTGACCGGGAGTTACACACCATCCTTGCCATATACTGTAAGAGGGTACTTGGAACTCTTACATATAATATCCATTTCCTACTGTAAGAGTGGGCTAGCAATAAGAAAGGCATCCAACCGTAAACCTTGCTTCATATTTGCCTAATAGTGACCAGGGTGCCATACCATCAGGTAATCACAACTAACCCCCACAAGCTTGGAAAATGGCTGTAAAAAAGTGATGATGAAGGTGGAAGTCATATGTGTGTATGTGGCTTAACCTGAGTAAGGACTTTATAGAACCAGATCTTAATTTATGCATGAATGTAATTTTTATGTTACCTCAATATATGTGTCCTATTTTGTCTTGATTTATCTCACTTTGAAGTTCCCAGTTGGTGTATATACTGTTTTATTTGTTTAGATCTCCCTGTTCCTACCATCTTTATATTGATTCATCAGAACATAACTGGCTTCCCCATAGTGACGATTTGTGGTAAGCAGATGGTGGCTAGCTCGCAAACCTTTTCCCACGGCACAATGAGTCACCCCACACAGCATCTCGTGTTTCTGTGTGAAATGGCCCCTAAAAGACTGCCTAGTGTCAGTGCTAGTGGAGTGAAATGTAAAAGGCAGAAGTCAGTGATGACCCTGACAAAACTACAGAAGTTTCAGCAAGTTAAGTGTCTGTTACTTTAGAACATAACCTCCCACCTGTACAACCAAGGCAGCTGTTCCTTCAAATATTGTATAGCAAGACCAAACAGCTCCATTTCCCACTTCTTTTACCATAAATACAAGTCCTGTACTATTTCACTGCTTGCTACTGTTACTGACACTACACCTACAGTTATCATGAAGCAATATAACCTTATCTGATGAAGCACCTACCAGTTAAAAAAGTAATCACATGACAATTAATCACCATAATATTACCTGGCAGTTGTGTTAGGGTGTAATCTGGTGAAATAAGCTGGAGTGCCTAATCATCATGTGATAAAATAAACGGTATGTACAATTGTGGAACCTTTACTCAAAATTTTGGAAGTGTAAAGTAAAGACAACCTGCAGCAATAAGTACTATTACAGTTCAATGTGATACTCGTTCATTGAATCCCCAAATACAGCACACTGTGTACTGTAGTACATGTACTGTATATATATTTACTATGCTGTATTACATTCTTATCATCCCTGGCTTCCTGCTGTCATTTTTTATAAACGCATTGGTGTAAAGCCATCAGGTGAAATATATACGACTGAGTTTACTCATTGAATGTCAAAAATAAGAAAATTAGAGGCTGGGCTAAGTAAATGTATCGGCACTTATATTTGACTTATTATGTACCGTATATTATGTGCTATTGCTCTTTACCAATTATGATTTAGCGCATATTACAGATTGGTAAATATATTAGCCGTCGGTAATTGAAATTAAGTGATATACTACTTATACATCAACTTAATTATTGTCATACAGTGTCACAGTGCCAAACATGACCACAAGCTAAATTTTATGTTTGAGTTTTTCGATATTTTTCTTTTTTGCTCACTGTACATGTTAAAAATTTATAATGTGTATATTTAATATATTCTACCGAGAACAACTGATCATATATATAGTGCTACAGGTACTACATACAGTACTGTAGATACTGTAACAGCTGATTCAAACTTGTTCACTAAAAATTATAGATTTCACGTAATTATTTGCATATTTTTTCAACACTACATTTAATTATTATATAAGATTTTGTGTGGATATACAAATGAACTCGAAAATTCAAATCCCCCGCTATTTCTGCCCCATCGAGTCAGAGCTCCTCCTGTTCCTCCATGGTCCGCTCAGGCCAAAGATTCTCTACTTTATAATGCAGAATTATTAGTCTGGTTCAACTTTGGTGCGGCAAGGTAAGTGTCTCGTGTCGTGGACAATCATTAGTAATCAATGTGTGTATGAATGAATCTGTAATTAAATAAAATGTGAAATTTATATAAGAAATAAGCAACGGTAACATCAATGTGTGTCATGGTTGTGACTGTAGATTTATTGCACTTGAAATTTTGTTAATGTCTTATTTTCTCGATAATTACATGGTTTTGGTGTTTAAAATATAATTAGGTGGAGGTCAAGGATAAAACTTTATTGTTGGAGATAATTGAAGTGAATGTTCAATTAAGCTTTGACATTTTATCCTTCATCTCTTCTAGTTGGTGATATGAAATGGCCAGGGTGTAATACTTACCAGCCCGTGTGTGGATGTCTGGGCCTAATATAAACAACAGTAATACGAATATTGATAGATTTAAGTGATGCCTGGCAGGGAAGATGGTACGGAATACATGCAAGTGTCGGCGCCCAAGGATCACTGGTTGACGTCCGGTGAAGGTGCAGCGGCGGGGGTCACACAGCTTCTTCCTCTATAGTATCTACAGGCACTGGAAATGTTAAGCCAAGGTAAGATGATAAGATCCTTCAAGTGTGGTTTGGTTACAACAGTTTACTTGCCATCAGTTGTGTTGTGTTGCCATCTGTTGGGCGTTGTGCCAGATGTACGACAAGCTTCACGGCCAACTTTACGCCATCTCACGGCCAACTTCACGCCATCTCACGGCCAAAATTCGGCCAAACTTTTTTGGATGGGAAGCACAAGGTTATTTTTGCAATCCACACCAAATAAAAGTATCCCCAACAATAGCCACTTAAAATGTGGTAATAAAACCAAATTTTCACTTAGAATTGAGAGCCCAATAATTACACAAACATAATATCTATAATGTACAGTGAAGATTTACCTTAATCTGAAATGGTGGTGGAGCATGATAATGGTGGAGAACTTGATAACACTAGTTGACGTCAGCAAAACGTCTAGTTCGTCATCGTACCCCGGTTTGTTATATTTTCTACCACTGTCGTAGGACCCTTTCCATTTACTAGTGGACATTTTGAAAACTAGCACTCGGAATTTCAGAAAGTAACTCAGATGGCTTTGTAAGCTCTGAAGCTTAACCCATATGCTGGACACGTTCAGCCTGAACAACTCAAATATGAGAACTAACAACTAAGGTAGTAACTGGAAAGATCAGTCAGATCAGTAGGTCACGTAAACATGTGAAGAGGTGAGGTCACTGATTAGGTGAGGTCATGACAAGGTGAGGTCACTGAGCCAGCATTTTCATTGTGAAATTTGAAAATCTGCTAGACTTTTCTTCAAAATCCACTAAATGAGGAATTAATACGTGTTTTACAAAATTCGGCCAAAATACGGTCAAATAGTTTGGCCGTGACCGTCCATTTTTCCACGGCCAGGCGAAGTTTTTACGGCCTAATTAGATAAATTTGGCCGTGGAAGCGGCCATTTGGCATCCCTGCTTTGTGCTGCCATCTGTCGGGCTGCTGTGTCATTTTTTTTCTTACTAGTTGAATTGATGTTGGTGTCTGCGTCATGTGAGCGAAGATTGAAATTTCAGTTGTATGGCGGAATAAGAGTGATAAGACTGATCATGCTACTATTGTTGGTTACAAAGACACATATTTATCGTGTCCATTGGAAATTAAGTATCAGGCGCAGGTTTTGGGAATTGAAAACGAGGTGCAGACAGCGGGTGTTCTAAAATAGATAACAATAACCCCTAGCCCATAGGATATGAATATTCAGGAATTGGTTTTGTTTATATTAATGTTTACTAACCGATAAAAGGTGAAATAAAAAAAGCACGTTATTCAACAGATGAATATATGCAAACTCGTTTAGCGAACATGAATATAGTCCACTCAAAGTAATCCAATATATATGCAAAAGTGATTATTTAAATATACATAATCTGACGCCTTTAAATTATAAATATACATAAGTAATGGGAAAGACACTGAAAAGTGAAATTGCGTCCCATAGGCACGAACGCAGCCAGGGCCTGTTGGACTATTAAAGGTAGCGTTATGCAGCTGATTCCGGGTACTGTACCCTGTACGAGTCTTGAACAGAAGCCTGATTTTTCTCGGGATGAAAAGACGTGAGGTAGCCTGAAAGTTTCTTTAATAAGCACATTTTGGGCAGTGTTCACAGCTGGTGGGGTGATAGTGTTAACTGTGGAAAGTAACCATGGGGGGAAGGATGGCAGTATTAAGTGAGGGGAGTGGAAGTGTCGACGGCGGGAGGATGGGAAGTACAGGATATTGTGTAAGGGATGGCGAGCTGGTGTATGGTAGCTTGTTACAGGTACACTTAGCCTTAGCGCTACCACGAGAACCACAATGATAGATAATTATGTTGAAGTAAACTTACAAGTTACTCCAGGTTAGTGTAAGCCGCGTTCACACCCTTCTATAAAACGCGTGTTATTAACAATGTTATGTAACATTTTCGAGAATATTTAGTGAAATTTCATGTTATATAACAAAAAATCTAGGTTTATAACAATGGATGTTATCTGTTTGAAGTCGGAAAGATCAAAGGATGTTGCATAACTTGTTATTTAGCGTTATAACTGCGTCCAGACACAGGTTGTTCATAACCTTTTGTTTATCCTTTCAGTTTGTTCCAGTCAGCTGAGAGGTGAACATCAGAGACTGGCTTTGCCTCTGCCATTTTTCCAGTAACATTCAAATGGAGTGGTCGAGCTACATGTCAACTAATTGAGGTCTGTGATTGGGCAGCTCCAACGAGGGGAAAGGAAATAAAAAGTTGAGCTGCAGTTGATGAAGTGTACGGAAGCAAATGGTTTACTTTCAACAGCCTATTATTATTAAAGGATGGAAATGTACCCCTCAAAACCCGTGAAGTAAGTGAATGAATACTAATTTATTGACATTATTTTTATTTTATTCATAGTTTACTTGATTGGAACAATTAAACTGTACATGTGAAAGAAATTATGT